AATATTAAAACAGAAACACTAAATCTATTGGAAGAGAAAGTAGGTAAAAACCTTGAAGACATAGAGGTAGGCAGAGAGTTCATGAACAAAAACCAAACTGCACTTGAAACACTTGAAAGAATCAACAACTGGGATCTCATCCTACTGAAAAGTTTCTGCACATCTTTGCTTTTGTTTTTGCTTTTCTTCTGGTACCAGGAATCGAACTCATGACCTTGCACTTGCCAGGCAGGAGCTGTGCCGCTGAGCTCAATCCCCAGTCCCAAGAAAAGGCTTTTTCTGTACCACAGAAAGTTGAGATAGTTATAGAAAGAAGTTGAGACATTCAAATCGGCCATAATGGTCAATTCAGAATGGATCATTAACACTTTAATGTATATTCTTAGTTTTTTCTTTGCGTGCAAATGTATATTCTGGTTATGTTTGTGTTTTTTAAAACATAAAGGGATCATTTCTATCCTTTTTTTTGTTGTTGCCCCATGTATAAATGTGATCCCTAAGTCTGTGGATAACGTAGAATGTCTTCTTTTTCCCTCCGTGATAAAAACGCTCGTTGTTTTTTCTCAGCTCCCTTGCTGCTGCATGTTGCTGCCTTGGGGCAGCCCCGCAGATGCATCCTCTCTGGACCTGGATTCTGGCGCTGGTGACTCAAAGCAGCAGGGATGACGCAGAGCCCACTCTGGCCAGCGCACAGCAGCCGTGGCAGCTGCATCCGGTTTCCGGGGCAGGAGAGACAGCTGTTATGTGGCAGTGTGCAAGGTCCTGCGCCCAAGGACTCAGCCGTCTGAACCACAGGGCCAGAGCGTGGCAGCTGGGTGGTGACATCACAGGGTTGGCTCTGTGGAATGCGCTGGGCGCGGTCCTGCCGGCATGGTTCCCTTCCCACCTTTGCTTCTTAAATTAGCTTAACAGTTGACTTCATGTGCTGGCAGCAAATACCAGTGCTATTAACAATAACTGGCTCTGCGTGCTTTCTCTGTGCCACGTGAAGCTCTGAATGCCTTCTGTGTATTAGCTTGGTTCACTTTTACAACAGCCCCTCAAGGCAGGGACTGGTACAATCCCTATTTTACAGATGACAAAAGTGAGTTGCTGAAAGATCAGGTTAGTTGGCCAAGGTCGCATAACTAAGTCGTGGCTCTGAAAGTCAAACCTACTCCGTCTGGCCTTGTTCTTAAGCGCCCTGACTAATGTGCCTACTGTTTTGTAACCTGATTTTTTTCATGTAACAAAATTTCATAAATATTTCCCTGTCATGCAATATTCATTTACATATTTAAAGCGGCAAGGAGGATTCATGATTTATTTAACCAACTCCCTACTGTTAGACATTAAAGACATCGCGACAGCTAAACTTTTTTCTTAATATCCATGCTAGTTCCTTGCAAAAGAGTCCTTAATACCTTAGAATGCTTGCTCCAAGGGAGTTCAAATTACCTTCCTGAAACATGACTCCGACTTTCATACCCAGCAGTATATGAAAGCATCCTGATTCTCTGAATTCTTGTTAACGTTGAATATTATCATTACATTCTTTTCTTTGTAGCACCAAAAATGATAAATCTTTTTCTATTAAATTTGAAGTCCTTTAAACATTTAAATATATATTGTTCGGCTACTTGTCCAAGATCTTTTAATAAATTGTCTTGTTCATCATGAAGTTGAAACTAGTTCAAGACTCTTCTTGCTCTGACTCAAACTACTCTAATTTTCCTACAAGTCCTAGACATTCACTGTAAGCACTCACAGGGATTACTGTGGCCGAGACTGAGCCATACGAATGTGCTATTTTTTTGTAGGCCCAACAGTGGTGGACTGGGGACAGTTTCAGATGGTGAGACCTATTAAATCTGAAAACCTTTGTTTTCACGCTGCGTCTCCCCCTCTCCACTTGGTGGTATCCTGCTAGTGTTTTAGAGGCTGAGTTCATAGAACAGGTCCTCTCCGTGGTTCCCTTACCGCTCCTCCTCAGGGGTCTGTCTGCCTGCCTGTCTGTCTCTCCTTCCCTCCCTCTCTTGCCATTCTGCATTTGTTCCGTCCCATCACAGCGATGCAGCGGGCTCCCGGCATTGCAGCTGGGTATTCCCCTTGCACCTCCCGGCAGAGCCAAGTCCACGGTGCTGCCTCCCAGCAGAACCTCCATCCTCCCCCGTTGGCAGCCGCAGGGACCAGCGAAGTTTCTGGTTCAGCACATTCACACCAAAGAGCTCTTGAATTGAAGAATCAGTGCTTTAGGGCACCAGGGAGCGCCACATAATACTTGCAGTTTCCTTCCATGGTGAATACAGCGTGTGTCCTGCCTTCCTAACATCTCCTGATTTGGTCGGTGTTTTGTGTGGAATTGCTCCTCTTTCTTTTGAACCCTACATTGCTCTAGTTTATTTTTTCCTGTATTTTTAGGTGTGGTGATGGAATTGCATTATAACGAAATTATTTTATTCGGTGGCAAAATTCACAAGAATGACACAACACAACTCTCTAACTTGCTAAATAAGTAATCAATGTACTCCTGAAGGGATGAATTGTACTGTCTCCGTCTGTACTTTTAACCATATTCACTTTCTCTCTTAGTTAGACTGTCAGAAACTCTTAGTGGCTTCCAGGAAACATGATGCTCCAGATAGACAGAGTTATAACAAGCTACGGGAAACATTAAAAATAAAATATTTTGAAATCACTTAAACGGAATCTTTTTTAGACAAAATCTTCTGTATATAAAAGGGATTGCTATAGATGGGATCTGAAGTGTCCCCAAGCCGCATGCTAAGGTCTCAGTTGGCATTCTACCGCGCTGCGAGGAGGTGGGAGACCCTTTAAGGGGCGGGGCCTAGTGAAAGGCCCGTCACTGGGGGCGTGGCCTTGAAGGGGATACAGAGATTCTGGCCCTTTCTCTTTTGCTTGGAGACCTCTGGGAGGCCTACTGCTCAAGAGAGCCAACTTACTATGGGGCTCAAACCCAGGATCTTCCCACTAAGCTACACCCTCAGCGTCCCCCCTTCTATTTACTTATTTTTATTTTGAGACAGAGCCACACTAAGTTGCTAGTTGCCCAGGTAGGATCCTCCTGCCTTGGCCTCCCTGAGTGCTGGGTGCCATCGAAGGCGTGTGCCACCAGGTCCAGCTCCTTTCCTCAGGCCGGTTATTTCAGGCATTGTGTCACAGACATGGAAAGCTGGCCGACCCAGGGCTTTTCTGCGCACACTCAGTCTCAGCCAGGGAATGATGGAACCCTGAGGGTGGGTGAGAGCCCAACGGTGTCAGTGTGTGCTCCTTGGGGACAAAATGCCAGGTGAGAGGGAGGGAAGGAAGACCACAGTCTGGGCTGAGATTTGGCTGGGTGTCCCACTCAAGGTCATCTGAGCACTGGTTCAACTCCTGCTCATCTTTTCTCCCCCACCTGCCCAGCCCTAACCATTCCTGGATGAGCTCAGGTTGTGCTTCTGGCTCGCAGTCCTCACGGCTGCTTGCTCTGCTTCCTCTCCAGCCACGGACAATGCTGGCCTGTTCTTCCCTGGGCCTGTGCACTCAGCACTGCACCTTTTGTAAGTGGCCTTCTTGTGTACTAGGCAGTGGGCTCCATGATCAGATCCAAAGACCCAGGAGACCTGTTTGAGATGTTTACAAAGTGATGGAGTGTTATCAATAAAAGGACAGATAATAGCAAGTGCTGGTGAGAATGCAGAGAAATTTGAATCCTCATGGGAACAAAAAATGGGGTAGCCACCTTGGAAAAGTCAGTTCTTCAAATACTCAGTTACCATGTGACTCTGCAAGGTCACTCTTAGGTTTACTTAAAGGAAATGAAAATGTATCCATCTTGTATGCTGATGTTCTTAGTGGCAATATTTATAATAGCAAGAGAAAAAACATCTTCTGCCATCTGAGGAATAGATAAATAAAATGTGGTATATTCACAAAATGGAATATGATTCAGCACTTGAAAGGAATGCAGGCTAGTGATGGTATAACATGGATGAAACTTGAAGATATGTTAGGTAAAAGAACCATGTCACAAAGGCCCTCCTATCACAGGATCTACATATATAAAATACACATATAGCTAAGTATGCAGACAGAAAATACATTAATGGTTGCCTACAATGATGGCAATGTCTTTTTGGGGGTAATGTGAATGTTCTAAAATTAATTATGGTAACAGAGGTAGGTCTGTGAATACACTAAAATGGGTGAATTGTATAGTATGTGAATTGTGCCTCAATAAAGCAGTTAAGTAAAGAAAGAGATGTGTGCTTTTTACATTTAATTTTGTCTCCTGGCATTTCCCTGGTGAGCTGAACATTCCCAAGCTTGAAGTCCAGCCAGTAGCTAATGTAGCAGGGTGAGGATTTAATTCACGCTACAACTTATGCACCAAGAGAAAATGTGAGTTACTTATTTAGTCTGTAACCAGTGTGGCTTTCCTCTGCAAGTCCCACCTCATGGGTAGTGGGGGAGCTGAGTGGCATGGGTGGTCCCCAGTGTCTGGAGGGCTGGGATAGTGGGAAGATGGTTGGGCTGACCTCCTGCAGGCACCACACAGCACTGATGCTGCAAGCCTGTCCGCTCAGATTGTAACCGCAAACAGAAGCTTGAAAACGACACCCAGGATTTGGAGGCATTTTTATTTATGTCGATGGGCACTGATCGGGATCCCTCCCAAAATATCAGGCCCTGACCTCTGGTGGTCTAGGGCTTATGTGGGGTATACAAGCAGGGAGTACAGAGGCAGAATGGCTTGTCAATTGGGGATTGGCTTACACAATGTGCATCGCAGTGACCAGCCATTTGTAAGAGACAGAAGCAACTGGAACTGGAACAGGAACTATTCCCTGGGCAACTAAGACACTGAAGTATACTGGCTAGGGAGGAGGGGCATTTTCTGTTTACAAAAAACTGGCTGTCAGCCTGTGCTTCAAGTGTATGACTCTAATCTCTTAGTTCTTGATCTGCTGCTTCCTTTGGCCTCTGTTATCTCCATGGCTCAAAGTTCTCGCTTTCAATGCCTGCCCGCAGCTCACGAAGGCTGTCTGACTTCCGACTACTCCTGCACTCATGTAGCTGGTCGCAGTGGTCCACTGTTGCGTTCTCCGGCATGGCACAGCCCATGCTGCTCTAGGATCGATAGCTGCTTGAGGAGATAAAGCAATTGTTCTGTGGTTTCCTGAAGCATCCAAGCTTAACAGAATAATACACTTATTTTGATCTTCTGAAACTATACTTAAAGCTCTTCAAAGTGTTTTAAATAAAATTGGCCATGTTTTTATGATTTTGTATTGGTGATTATATGAGCACTTGTTTTACTTTTAAAGATAGATTTGTTTGCTTTTGTTTGTTTGTTGGAAAGAGAGCTGCCCGGTCATATTGCTCTGGAGGAGGTACAAAGTCATATTGCACAAATGGGCCTGAGAGGAGATAAACTGTGATACACATGTGTTTTTCAAATTGTTTTATCTTTACCAAACCCAATCAGTGATGTGATAGTTCAGACAGGAGTTCAGAGTACTTACTTTTTGCTTTGAGTAATTTATATTCTAAAGGTTTGTGACGTACAAATGAACAGAATTATTTCAAAGTTGGTATTCATTCAGGACTGGATCTTAGCATTTGTACAGTAGCCTGCATACTGACTACCAATGTCTGGGAAGTTACTTTTATGACAAATAATACTTATTTTGGAAAAAAACTTCAAGATTATTTAACACAAGATGAGTGAATATTGAATTTACAAAGTGACCTCGATTAACATACTTGACTACTAAATGAATAAGGAGGTGAGACTGTCATCTTTTACATGGGGTTTTTATTAAATATGAATTATCTCTGCCTCCATTTTGTATACATATACACACATATATTCATTTATTCTTAGGTATGTTACTCCAAAATTTGGCAGGATATAATTTTTACATTACTATTTTAATCAAAGCACACCTATTCCTTCATAAACATTTACCTACAAAGTGAAAGGGTTGGTAATGACAATTTAAATGAAATGTACTCTTCTGATTATTTAGTTTTGCAGATATTCAAAAGTAGCAAGAGCTGTAAAAAATGCTTGAGCCATCTGTAGCAACTCTACAGCAGCTATAGGAGAAATGCTAATAAAATGAGGTGAAATCACAGATCGCTAGGCCGGAATAAACCCAGTGAAGATAGGAAAAGAACAGTCAAGAAAGGGAAAGATGAGCGATTGGAAATGAGAAGATGACTGGAGTGTTCAGTGATGGACCGTGGGCCTTGGTGCAGAAGAGTCACCACGTGAGTGTGGCTGTGGATGTGTGTGACCTTCATATAGCACAGACCTCTGAGTCATTTGTGACGGTTGGGATACAGCTTGGACTCTAGTATCCCATGTACAATGACTCAAGGGAGCAAAAATCTGAAACTATGGCTCCTTCTATCTGGTGATTTTGCTATCCTCGAAGCTGTTGCCTTCATTGTTCCCCAGCTGAAGACGGCTCCCATACCTCAACTGGCATGACACTTGGTCCAGGAAAAGGGAAGAGGATGTAGAAGCCAAGGGAAGGCTGCCCTGGCTATTGGAAAGGAGATTGAGGGAGAACAAGCCCGACCAGGTGTCCCGCATGGTTGAAGAGTGGTTAGACTCAGAGAATGAACAGCCTGTGGGCGGTGCTCTGTCCACCTGGGAAGAGAACAGTCACTTTCTGAGATTCCCCAGCCATTCCCCTTCTGTCCTTTGGAAGGTCGTAAAGGAGGATCAATGTGTCCCTCAGTGGTGTGGCGTGAGCTGGGGAGATCTGGCTGCTTCGCAGGTTGGGGCGGGGGTCTGATGCTGAGGTCTTTCCTGCGTACTACGTGAAAGTCAAGCACAAGTGACCCCTTTGCCCATGGTGGCACTTTGACTTCCTCAACACAGAGGCTCTCAGGGTGCGGTCAGTATTAGCAGCACCTGGGAACTTTCCAGGACTCTAAGTCCTACCCCAGATTTAAAGAGAAGTTCTTGCTGCAGGGCCCAACAACTGTGTTTTGCCAAGTGCTCTGGGTGATGTGAAGCAAATTCAAGTTTGAAAACCATGGATTTAGTACAACTGGCTGAAAGGGGAAATCGGAATACATGTTTGACCGACTCTGCAGTTCTCTTGCTGCCCTGCCTCTACTTTCTACAATTCGCTGGGACTAGAAAGTAGCGAGCTGTTCTTTTACTTGCCCTAGCGTAACACCCTCCTTCCATAAAGCATGAATGCTCACAGAAAATAAGCAAACCGTGTGTGGCAATGGGGCCTGTGGGTTTGGTTGCAGAGAGGAGAGAAATATGATGTTTGGAAAACAATCTGGATTCCTGTGGGATTTTGGTTTGAATGCTAGAAACCAGATATTACTTTCCTCTTTGTATTCCCTCTTTAAGATGTATTAATTTCCAGTGTCCTTCCCTGAAATGAACACCGTGAACTGTGCCTGCCAAGGGTCCCGTTCTCAGAGCAGCGAGAGAAGAGCACATTGTTGTCAAGGTACCGCATCACCCAGGTACTTTCAGTCAGCTCTGGTCTCCAGGTGAGAGGCTCCAGACCCCAGCCTAGGTACCAAAATGTGCGGATGCCCAAGTCCTTTATCCAAAATGGTGCAGTGTGCAATTTGTACAATTCTCTTATCTACTTTACATGGTCTCTAGATTATTTACAATAACTAGTACAATGTGAATGCTATGGAAATGACTGTTAGCCTCTATCTTTAGGGAATAATGACAAAAAAAAAATCTCTACATGTTCAGTACAGATGCATTTTTCCCCTGAACATTTTAGATTCAAGGGTGGTTGAATCTGAGGATGCTGAACCCAAAACTCAGAACTTGCAGATACAGAGGACCCCCCCGGACAGAATCCACTTTGGGGAGGAGTCTACACTTGAACTTGCTGAGCATGACCAGGCTGTCTGCCACTCCCACCTGCTCCCAGGAAGGGATGATAGTCAGCAACAGCAACCATAAGAAATAGGCAAGAATGAAGAATTTCTAATCCTGGCCCTTTTTCCATCCCAGCATGCTCAATGGATAACTTTCTGTGATTACAGTGATTACAAAATAATGTTCCGAGAGCAACACTGCCTTAAAAGATGCCTATTTTTACTACTGTCTCGGGAGTAGTAACTTGTCTTCATCCTCTGTGTATGTTAGAATTTATATTACTATCTGAGTGGAAATATTTGCTTTCATTCATTTGTAGATAGCCTGAGTTGATAGAGTTGTCTAGTAACCAAAAATATAATCATTTAAAAGAAGCAACTCTAAATAAGCTACATTCATGAGGTTGTAAGTGGGAAGTTGTCATTTTTGCAAATGGAGAGCTCGTGGAGAAAAAGACAGAACGCTTGCTTCTATCTAACCCATTCTCCTCTGCCTGACATGAATAACGCTTTTGGAATGTAAATGGATCACCCTTGTCTTAGTCATTTTCTTGTTGCTGGGATAAAATACTCATCACTCATGACCTAAAGGAGGAGAGGTTTACTTGGGTTCCCAGTTTTCAGGGGTTCAGTCCCTGGTCGTCGTCTGGCTCCCAGGCAGAAAGGGCATAGAGAAAGGGTCTGGTGGAGGACAGGTGCTCACCCAGTGGCAACTAGGAAGCAGAGAGAGAAGGGAGCTGGGGAGGAAGATGCACCCCTCCGCCACCCCCCAATAACCTGGCCCCACCCCCTCACAGCAAGTCAGGAAGGACTCCTCACTGGGCTGGGCAGTGAGTACAGCAGCCCTGTGATGCAACCACCCTCACACGCCCCACCTCTGCACACAGGCGGCTTCTGTGGGACATTCTAGATCTAAACCATAACACCGCTCCTTTAGGGGTTTCCCATCGAGTGCAGAGTGACCTTCAATTTCCTCAAGATGTTCTTCAAGCCCCCTGCACTTCCCTCAGCACCGTCTCAGGCTTCTCTCCCTTGCTCATATGGGCTTTCTTCCTGCTCTTAAAAAGCAGTTGAATTCTTCCCTGCCCAGAGCTTTGGGATATGCTCTTTTTCAGGATTGGTTCTTTTCCTAGCCACTCGTGAGGGTCACACTTATTTCTAATGTCTCAGCTTAACGTCTGTTCTTTGGAAAAGACTAGCATTCTCTGTAACCGACCCACATAGTGCTGGACACATGGCTGGTACTTTCTAAATGTGCAATGGCCAGATTACCAAATAGCATGCAGCAAGGTGTACACTATGGTTTGAAATATAAATGAAAATTCTCCTAGAATTTTAACATTATAA